GCACGCACACTCGTGAGCACACGTGTTAGGAGGCCAGGCCAGGCAGTGGGTGCATCATCATCTAGGGAGCTGCTTCCTTCCTAATAAATCAATAAAACCTGGAGCCCCAGGAAGCTCATTAGGACCACACAAGGGCAGAGGCCCACCCAGTGATCCCCTTGGGAAACTCAATGAGCTGGGATGATGGAGGAAGGAAGATTCCTTGTCTTGGGCCTGACTCTGGCCCTCTTTTGGGAGCAAACCTTGGGGAATTTAGTCCACTGTAGTCAGCTGAGGGCTGTCCCAGTGCTGGTGGGTGGGGAAGGGCTGGGCCCAGGCTTGATCTGTGCTAATAACTTGGAGGGAGGAGGCAGGAAATGCAGAGGAGGGGCAGAGGCCACCAAGGAGACTGCTCCTCCTGCCCCTGGTCTCTCAGCAGACGTACCTGGGGAAGCTACAGGAGGTGACTTTGGGTATCCTGAAAAACAAAAAGGAAATGGCATGTCAAACAAGATCCTAAGCACCAGCTCCTTGTTCTGAGCCCCCTTTTTTCTCCTTGCTCCTCCCTCACAAGTTCAAATCGAGTCTTCACTATTAAAGAGACATGGAACAAGGGCACCCACTGTCACTGCCCTCCTAGAAGCAGAGGTACATTTGTGCCAGCCTGTCCCTGCTTCCTCGCTAGCCCATTTATCCCTGGCAGGGAAGAGGGCACTGAGGGCAAGCTGGCTGCAGGAAAGAAAGAGATGGGTGCTGGAGCCTTGGAGACTTCTCTGCGACTGAGAGAGTCACACAAGCCAGCTAACATTTGCCCTCTAGCAGTGTTATCTGTTCAAGAGCTTTGGCTTCAGCTAGACTGAACACAGTCCTTATTAAATGGAGGCATGGATGGGTGGGTGCATAAGTGCAGGGACAAATAGATGAGTGGATACATGCAGGAAAGAGTGCACAGCTTGATGCGTGGAGGGATGTGCACATGCATGGGTGGGTGGATAGATATGTGCATGAATACATGGGTGCGTGGGTCCCTGGGGTGCCCCAGACTGCATATGAGGATGCATATGTGGGTGGATGGATAGATGCATAGATTGGTGGATGGATGTGTTGATGGGTGGATACATGGATAGATACGTGGGTGGGTGGATGGGTGGATGGATGGAAGGGATACACAGATAGATGTATGGGTGAGTGCTGCATGCATGCAAGGGTGCATGGATGGATGAATGAGTGAACAAATAGCCCAAGAGAGCCTAAGCATCCATGATACATGGAACTAACAGAAGATAAGTGTTATCTTGGAAAACACAGGACATCTGCCTAAGAGCTGTGATCGCTGCAGCTCAGGTGTCTTAGAAGGAATAGAAAAAGAGCTGGTGAGAGAAAATGTCTTCTTGTCTTCTCAGCAGTGACCCGGCCTTCCAGACAGCCGTGGGCATCAGGGGCCACGGGTGCACCAGGCTATCACTGATGGGGAACGACCCCAGCCCTGCCAGTGTCTGCATGTCCCTGATGGTCAGCCTGGTCTGACTCAGAGGGGACTGGTTTGCATTGTTCTATGCATGTATCTATGGCAGGTGACATGATCTGCCGCATTCAGGGTCATCTGTTTATCTGTTATAGCCACAAATCTCAGTTTCCTCATCTGTAAAACAACACTGGCTTCATGGTGCAGCTGGGAGGGGTGCAGGAGATCCGGCTGCGGTTCAGTCCCTGGCTCGTGGTGGGAATCCCACAAGTGCTCACTTCCTTCTGCTCCTGTCTGTACTGTGACACCACCCCCACTGTCACCGTAACAGTAATGGTGTGGACATTCACAACTCATGGGGAGCACTTCCCAGTGGGGCACTGAACTGGGCTTTTCTCCATCCTCACAGTAACCCTCTGAGGTCCTGCGCTCTCCTCATTTTGTGGTTGAAGGAAGCTCAGAGAGCTCGGGAAGCTGCCCCGAGTCCCAAAGCCTGTGGTTGACAGCCCTCCTGCCTAGCCAGGCTGCTGTGCCACCTGCTTTGCTACTACCCAAGCTCCCAATACCCTTCTGGCTTCCAAGATCCTTCCTGCTGGGAATCAGTGAGCTGCCATGTGGCGCTGGTACTCCAGCCGGCCGGGCCATTCTAAGTATGGACGACTGCACTGTCCCTGAGGCGCCCCAGCCTCCGCGTGCTGGATTAGCATGAGTGATCCCTCAGGCCTCGGCATCCCTCCAAAGCTGCACTTCTGAACTTGTCCCCCTGAAGGCTGGACCCCGGCCCGCCAAGCCCCTCAGCAGACCCCGAGGCTCAGGTGGAAGGTCTGGACGAGCCCCGCACTCCTCCCCATGCTCCTCCCCGCGCAGCCCTGGGCCTCACCTGGTGCGCCCGCAAAGCCTT